TCCTCTACTGATGAGTGACATTCTTGGAGGAAACAAAAATCAGATTTAAATTGTTTGAGATATAAGAAAACAGCCTTTCTCTTAGTGAGATTTCTTAGCCCTCCAGCATTTAAAGAAACAACAGATAAAAACATGAAACAAAACAAAAAAAAAGGTGACTGAAAAATAAATAAATACAATTGAATAGACCTAGAGAAGCAAAACAAATAACTTGTATAGAACTTTAACCGGTCAGGAAATGAACAAGGATGAGAACCACAACTCAAACAATAGAAAAAATATATTAAAATGCAGTATGAAATTCTTAAGTAATACTTTAAATGAAATGTAAGAACATAAGTATAATACCAGATCTTTTAAGTCATGAGGAGACTGTATCGTAATATACAAACCAGACAAAACACATATCTGAAGCATACTAGAACGTCTCAATAACTACATGTCCCACCAAACTATAACACGTTCTCAGGGGCGGACTTACCCAGTAGGCGACCGCCTTGGGCCCCCAAAAGCCAAGGGCCCCCTAAAATGCTTTTCATATAGGATATAAGCATTAAGCGCGGACACGTGAACATTTGCTGTTTACGGTGTTTATTACCACGACAACCGTCCGAGTAAACATAAGTATAATACCAGATCGTTTAAGTCATGAGGAGACTGTATCGTAATATACAAACCAGACAAAACGCATATCTGAAGCATACTAGAACGTCTCAATAACTACATGTCCCACCAAACTATAACACGTTCTAGAATAGAACTATTTAAATCTTGTGAAAAGGCAGCGTATTAAATGGCTTACATAGTAATCAAAAGTGTAGTACCGCCAGACGAGTGTCTTCAGTGTCTTGAGAAGAACTGTAGACTGATGATGGTCCAGAACATCAAAGAGGGCCAACAAGCAAAAAGGATGGAAGCAATATTAAAGTCAAGAGATAATAAGAATAAACGAGAAACTTATTTTAGTCATTCAGGAGGGAAAATCTCAGCTCCCTCTACAAATGCCCTTCCACCCACAAAATAAGCCCGCTTATTTTCTTTTCTGGCCTTTTCCACGACGGGCCATAACTGGTTTCTTCGTTCTCTATCTGCTTGAGACAGATCCTCGGATATTTTCAGGTTGTTATTTCTAAGGAAAATTGAATCCTTAGCAGCACGCCAGACCGCGTCACGTTGAAAACGAGAGGTAAACTGTATGATGATTCCTCTGGGCTTGCTGTCGTTCAGCCGTTTTCGACCCAGGCGATGAACGGTATCCACGGCATCCGGGACCCCGTGAACTCTGAGACTCCAACGACGTGAGTAAGCTTCAAGGTGTAGAAGCCGTTTCTCCTGTTCATGCCAGTTAAACTCGACTCTCTTTTGGCTAGTGACTCAGTCGCACCGACTTTGACTTTCAGATCTTTTACTTCTGCACTCATAAAGTCAATCACATCCTTCACTCCAGAAATCTGTCTGGTATTTTCGTTGATTGTTTCTTTCATACTAGCGATCACATGTGAGTTTTCCCCCACCATCTTTCCCAAAGCATCAGAACGATTATTAATCAGCTTCGAAAGCTCCCCGAGTTGTGAGAGGATGGCAGTTGTGTCAGCGCTCTCGGTCTTGCGTTGTTTGATGGCAGGGGACTTACATGGGTTTCTGGAAGACAGGGAAATTCTTCCTCACACAGCATGAATTCTGCAGATTCAGTATCTTGGCTTATGTAGTCATGCATGTTCTCCGTCAGAAGTTCTTTTCGGGCTTGACTTGTCTCATTAGCATTTTTGGTAGCATTAACAGCAGCTTGAGTTCTATTCCTACTTTTTCTTTTCTCGGATTTTCCCATTTTGACAGCTACTACAAATTTAACACTGGTTAAATGTGATCTGGTACAAATTAAGAGTTCAAAAGCTTTTCTAACTGCATTACAAGACAAAATAAACAGCTGAGTTTGCCGAGCTCATCAACATGCGTCTGATCAGAGCGCCATCTTGGACCTCCCCCGATACAAATAGTTATTTTAAAGTATATACCTCCTGTAAATGATTTTACAGTGACATTACATATCTTTACTTTACATACAGTACATTTAAATTAAGATGTGTTTCTAGAAATAAAAATTCCAGAAACTAATTTTGAACTTTCTGAATTAAATTTTTTTCTTACCAAGTTCTTAAAAATTCCAGCCACAATCAATCACAATGTATATACAATTACAGATCATTAAGCCTATAAATCGTCAGTTTGTTGTTTTACACACATGCACACAGACATTATTTCATACGCGACAGTAGTGAGATGCATAAGAAATCTTTAGACGCGTAACACAAACCATAATACATAACAACAAAAGACAATACTTTATTTAACCTTTTCTGACAAGAAGTGTGCGCTGCAAACGCGAGCATTTTTGACTATCGTTTCTGTCCAGTCCGCTCGTTTCATTGCGTTTAACCACATCGTCGGTTATTTGTCTGGCGGTGGCAGCAGATATGCTTTAAAATTTTAAATTGGAGCCTCTACTACGTCGATTCTGGCACCCAACGTCACAATAAGACGATATTTTAAGCTCCTTATGTAGCTGAATCTGCGCTGGTTTGAATTGGCCGCCTCCAGTTTCCCCTTTGTTTCAATCTCCTTTGTTTTGCCTCCAGCTAGCGTGGTGACGTAACTGTGACGTCGGCCCTAAAAGGTTCTATAAAGACCCCATTTCTAATAAGTAGAAAAACCAATGGTCAGTTTGTATATGGGACATCCCATAATATATGCACACGTCATATGAAACCATTTTACATTTACATTTAGTCATTTAGCAGACACTTTTATCGAAAGCGACTTACAAATGAGGACAATGGAAGCAATCAAAATCAGCAAAATAGTAATGATATGCAAGTGCTAGGACAAGTCTCAGTTAGTTTAAAGCAGTACACATAGCAAGGTTTTTTTTATTTTTTATTATATAATAGATAAAAAGAAAACATAGAATAGAAAATGAATAGAGCAAGCTAGTGTTAGAGGGCTTTTTTTTTTTTAGAAATGTGACATTATTCTATTTCAGAGGGCTATAAAGACGCCATTTCTATTAAGTATAAAAAAACAATGGTCAGTTCTTATACGGGACGTCCCATACTATATGCACACTTCATTTAAAACCATTTTACTGCAGCGTTTTCGAGATATGGGACATTATTACACTTTAGTAGGCCATAAAGACCTAATTTCTGTAAAGTAGAAGACATGAATGGTCAGTTCTTGTAGCAGACATTTCAGATCATATACACACTTTATATGAAGCAATTTTACGGAGGCAATTTAGAGAAATGCACCATTATTTCACTTCAGAGGCTCATAGAGAAGTGTAATCTAGTAAGTAAAAAAAATAGTTTTCTAAAATCTATGCGTAAATCAATGGAAAACATATAGGTTTTGGATTTACGGTATGGTTTTATAGGAGGTGTGCATATAGTATGGGACGTGCCATATACAAACTGATTATTGGTCTTTATAGCCCTCTTAAGTGCAATAATGTCCCTCAAAAACGCTGCAGTAAAATGTTTTTATATGAGTTGTGCATATAGTATGCAGGGGCGGATTTAGTGAATTGGGGGCCCCAGGCAAAATATAGGAATGGGGCCCTATACATTTGCACACCTTTTCCTAGATCAACCTTGAGGTTCCATTTTGTTGTTTTCAGCGTAAGCCTGTGTGCAAAGGCTGTCTAATTCTAAACTTTAAAATACATTTATTTTTAGTTGTTTTAACTACAAATTTAAAGTGCCGTACACCTGCAGGCGCCACTGACTCGGACTGTTGTCGTGGTAATAAACACCGTAAACAGCAAATGTTCGCGTGTCCGCGCTTAATGCGCATATCCTATATGAAAAGCATTTTAGGGGGCCCTTGGCTTTTGGGGGCCCAAGGCGGTCGCCTACCTTTGCCTAATGGGTAAGTCCGCCCCTGACCGCAGTGAGGGGCAATGATGAGATGATGTTTATGCTATTATGTTGCTTGCTAGCTGTCTTGTTCATATTGTCATATTCACAATGTTAATTGATGACGAATACATGAAGGAAAGATAGCTTTTAGGCCTACTAATAAAAACAATAATTAATGCTCCATCTCTCGCTCTCATTGTTTTAAAAGGCAACATGCCATAAATTCTATATTTATAAAATAACTCCACATATTCAGTTTTGCTGAAAAAAAAAGATGGCACATGGTGAGAGACATTTCTGATTGGTTTGTAGTTTTCAGTGCATGCTTATGGTGCTATCAAAACTTGCACATTTTCTTAAAAGCAGCACAAAAATCTGGCCCCCTTTATTAAGATGTATTTTGGTCGATGCATCACAAGAACCTCGCTAAATACATGTGTAAATGCAATTCAATTTCGATTGTCCACTTTCAACCACTGGAGGCTGTAGACATTGACTGCATTTGTGGTGAAAACGCTCAAGTGCTCAAATGTGTTTTTACAGCTAAGGACCACCTACTCACTCAACATGTAATTATTGTGGGAAAACGTGCCAAAGAATGTATTATATGTTTGCCTTTTGTAATCGCAAGAGAAATAAATGACCTGGTTGGTGCGCCATCCCTCAGTCTATCAAGATTGCATATGTGCTAAAAATAAATTAAGGTCACACTAGATATTCATAAGGAAATAGATAATAGTTCAGAACAGAAATCTCTTGCCTGCCAGAATCAGGGGTGAGCTGTGGTAAAGAATGCAGTAAATCATGTAGAATGCAGTGTGACAGCTCACATAACATGCACTGATAGTTCAAGTAATATCTCTTTAGCTGTGTCTGCGAGAAAAACAAAATAGTAATTCTATTAGGGGAAGCTCATTTGCTCAGCTCACTATTTTCCCACGCATGCACTGCAGGAAACCTTTTTATTTTGTATACTGTCTTGTCATGAAGGATGCGATCAGGCAGTCTAACATGGGGGAGGGTAGAGAGAGCAAGCATCTCATGCAGGGATGCAGCAAGCATCTGATTGGCTGCATATATACACGACATCAGAGCTGGAGAAAGCAGAGAGGAGAGGAAACACTGCGACGCAAGGAGGGATCCCAGCATCTCACTTCGCTGGGTATTCAGTCCTGAGCTTCTCCCGCTGGGGCAAATCCCCTGAATCCCACATCTATTTCTAAAGCAGCGCTTCTCCTCTAGTCTCTTTAGCCATGAATTACCTGCGCCGGCGTCTGTCGGACAGCACCTTTATCTCCAACCTGCCTGATGGCTACATGTCAGACCTGCAGAAACCTGATCTTCCTCAGCCTCCCCCTCCTGGACCAGCCTCAGGACCAGCTCCAGTGTCCCCGGGCCAGGAGAGAAACCCCATCCAACCCCAGCCTCTGGGCACGGGATTCTTCAGCTCCATCACCAGTGTGGTGAAGCAGACGGCCGCCTCAGCAGGGCTGGTGGAGCAAACGCCTGTGCCTGCATCATCCAAGAGACACAAGCTCCTGCTGGTCATCGATGAACCACAACAGGACTGGTGAGAGCAATGATTTTCACTTGAGCTCCTCGATAAGGTTGATTTTTCTAACCAGGCTGTTTGGCTTCTCCGCTTTTTAAAATCCTTATCTGTTGAGTTATTTAGTGCTAAGCGTAGTGCTGTCAAACGATTAATCGCGATTAATCGCATCCCAAATAAAAGTTTTTGTTACTTAATATATGTGTGCTGTGTATATTTATTATGTATATATAAATACACACACATGCATGTATATATTTCAGAAACATATGTTATGTTTATATATTAAATATATTTATTTATAATATAACTTATATGAATATAAACACTAGCTAAGCATAATCATTTAATTTTGTTTTGGTGGAAATAAAAAACAAGAAGATATAGTAAATGCACACTTTAATAATTTACATCTTTCATTCACATGCTTCATGCTGTTATTGGCTGGAAAAAAGGCAACGCCATTACTGAATAAATCTTAGGTCTCACTGATCTACATGCATAAAGTGTGTTTGATTTGTAATGATATTTCACTTACTCACTCACGCAAGATGACAATGTAGCACATAACACAGAGATTATTTAGAAAATAATAGTGAATTATTAATATACATGTAAAAGAATATGGGTGAATCTCAGGAGCAGGAATATCTGAAGAATTTCCAGACTTTAGAAAAATCAGGTGGACTCTGCAAATTGATGACAATAATGCTTACATATTTCCACTATGTCATATCTGTTCTATCCTCAATTTCCTTGGTCTTTTGCTCAACAGATTAGTGTGAGGAGTAAATGCATGCTAATTATCCTTTAAATCCATATTTGTAATAGCATGCAGAAGAAATGGTCAAATATTGTTTAGTCTTGCAGAGAGTATGCTGTTAATTTGTGTGCTATAAAGAATGAAGATTTTTGCGATACAGTGTATGTCAAAGATATTATGGATATTACAGTATAATGTCAAAGAGTATATGTTTAGAGACAGACAAACTGGCTGACTGATTGCTTTCTAGCTGCTTTCAGATGTCACATATCATATCATATTTTTATGGTTAGTGTAAATAATCCTGTCTGAATCAAAGTTCCCAAAACATGTAATAACATATAATGCAGATAAAGATATATATTAAATACATTTTATGTTTAAAGGATCTGCTATGAATATGTTAATAATATGGATTTTATTCAATTAAATCTTGCTGACATGCGTATAACCTTTAGAAAATTATTTTATTAGAGAAATTGTTGAATAATGTGTAAATAAAATACATGTGCTTAGTTGAGAATAATTTGGGATTAAATGGGTCACTAATATCCACAATAAGTGACCATTGGTTTACGTGTTTGCTCCACCGGTTTACAGTAATAACTCCTGTCTGAAGGAAGTCTGTTGTGTTATGTTTTGTGTGGTGAAGATTAGACTAAAATTTTAAGCCCTTTAACATCAATACATTGACATCTTGAAATTAATAGGTGCAGTAAGTTAACATTTTGTATTTGACATCCTATAGCCATGTCTACATTACAATAATTAGATTAAACATTAAAATGCTTTCAACTTTCTTATATATTACACTGTAAAAAAAATCCGTAAAATTTACGGTAGAAAACCGGCAGCTGTGGTTGCCGGAATTTTACCGTAAAAAATACGGTAGCAACGTTTTAGGTTTTACGGTTTTAACTTAAATTTACAGTTAAATACCGTAATTTCATTAACTGATATAACCCAAACATTCTACAGTGTAAAAAATGACCTTGAATTTAATGGTGAAAGACTGTAAAAATGCTACAATAAAAACCTGTTAAATGGTTAACGGTAAATTCCCCTACTATATACGGTGAAAAACTGTATTGGACATTACATGTAATTTTACGGTAGTATACCATTTTTGGAAGTGAAAAAGACCGTATAATTTACAGTGAATAACCGTAAATTGACATTCCCAGAATTCCCTGCGTTACATTTCAAATTGGATATTTTTTTTGTTGAAATAACCATGTTTCTTCTTAATTTTTTTCTTATCAGTTTTGTATATTAGGGTTGTGTGTTACACCTAATGTTGTTAAATGAATGTCTATTGCATTATTTCAGTTTCATGTGTGTCACCATGATGGTGTTTAATGCTTGTGTGAATGACACTGTGCACCTTTTATATTATTTAAAAGCTGCTTGTGATGGGCTTTAATTCATCATGTGACTTTCTCATCAGCACCTGCTTTTGATGGTTATCTGTGTATTACAAAGGTACAAAACAGATTTCAGTACTTCAGTAGGTTGGTATAATAACATTATATCAGTTAATGAAATTATGGTATTTAACTGTAAATTTAAGTTAAAACCGTAACACCTAAAATGTTGCTACCATATTTTTTACGGTAAAATTCTGGCAAACACAGCTACTGGTTTTTTTACCGTAAATTTTATGGATTTTTTTTTACAGTGTATTTATATACAGTATAATATACTGTAATTTAAACTGTGATGTTGTTAGCAATATAACCTTCACTACACAGCACCTTTTGCAACACACATTAATAGCCAAGATTTCAGTCCGGCTCTGAATCCATAGTATCCGTCAGCAGAGGAACCGTCCCAAAAATTAGTGCACTGCACTGCATGACACTGTTGGTGAAATGTATAATTACTAACAAGACGTTTAAACTCCACTGGTCTGAATTATAGCTCTTCATGTTACTAGCACAGCAACCTCAATCCAGTTTGGTGGCAATTTTGGCACTGCAGCTCTATAATACAGCTAAATCGACCTATTTTGAACATATTACAACATATGTAACATATACGTTGACAGAATTAATTTTGTCATTAAAAATAAATGATCATAATCATTTACATCATGTGTGTCCTGATATTCCCTACATGATGTTGATCAAATGTCCCCACAAGGATATTAATACCTGTAAATTTTGACCTTGTGAGGAAATTTTTTTGTCCCAATGAGGAAATAAACTTATAAATCATACAGCATGATGTTTTTTGCAAGTGGAAAAATTTGTGTGAGGGGTAGGTTTAGGGTAAGTGGACAGAAAATACAGTTTGTACAGTAGAAAGACCATTACACCTATAGAGAGTCCCTGTAAAACATGGAAACCAGTGTGTGTCTAACCTCAAGTTGAAGTGAAAACATTGATTCACGTTGTAACAAGGCAATTTAATCGAGGAATTCCTGGAATGTCACACGAACTACTTCAGGTGAAAAAATGAGCAGAAATGTTGATCACCATGGTAACTAGCCGACTGCACAATATGCCATCATCCTCGTGCCAACATTTAGGGAAAAAATACCACCTTCATATACGTTCCCAGAAAAAGAAGTGTAACGATTGTACAGCAGCTTGTCACTGGAGTAGTACCCTATCTTCGTACACTATTTACCCTTAAAAGGTTCATAGAAGTACCTTAAGCGTATAGTGGTACCATATTGCTACTCTTAAGGTACTAATATGCGCATTTAACGGCTTCAGTGACAAACTGTTGTCAAAGCTTGTTATATGTAGCACAGTTCTAAAGAGGTTTTTTTTACATAAATGATTGATGAATCAGAGATAATTAATGAACTCACATATGATAAAGTACATTACTATGTAATCTTAATTTCACTTAAGTATTTGTGTGAAATATGAGTGCATTTCTGTATGATCAAATTCATTTCAATTTGAAAAAAAAAAATAATAACCCTGAGCTTCTCATTTTGGTAATACTTTGAACGGAAAAATTTATATTTTAAATATAAATATATATTTAAATATATATCGTAAACAGAGCTTGGTAGATTACTTACAAACTGTAGTCAGTTACTGATTACAGATTACACAATTAAAATTGTAGTTATTTTAGTCATTTTAGGTAATGTATTCCGAGTACTTTTTAGATTACTCATAGATTACTTTTTATTAATCTTGTTTTAAATTTACCATTAAAAGTACCATATTGATAGAAAAAAAAGAAAATATATTCCTTGAAATATTTCTTTCTTTTTTTCTTTCTTTCTTTCTTTCTTTCTTTGTGAATATGGTCAAAGCTGAATGGTATGACACACAGCAGGATTTTTAGAAAGGAAAGTGTAAAAGAGGAAAAAAGAAGAATTAGGGAGAATCAATAAATTATGAATAATGAGCATTTTAAAATGTAATGATTGTTTATGCATTATTACTGATTATGCTATCCAGATTACGTGTAATCAGATACTATCCAGCTCTTATCGTAAATATATATATATATATAT